TTTTGTGCCAAACCTCCATGTTTTATTTGTTGTCTTGCCATCCAGAGTCCTGAAGCAAAAAGCAAACAAAGAGATATTTTAAGTCCATGATGAGTTATGTTACCAGACTGTACTCGGGCACAGAGCTACTGGAAGTAATTTTTATTTTCAGTGAAACTCAATTATCTAGAGTGTAATATATGCATCTCTTATGGTTCTGTTCCAGCACAACTCCTGTAAAAATAGCTTTTATAATTAACTTGGATTTCTGAAAAACTGGATGTGTGAGATTGCGGTATACATGCTAAAATATTTAGGGCTGTGCACTGGATTTGGGTAAATTCTGACATGTGGTGAACTGATTGGGACCAGTGTGTATGAGGTTTGGATTGAAGCAGAATGTCCAGATTTGATTTTGGGACAAAGAGAAGCAAATTTACAAACTGATTGATATCCTGAGCACAGCTGGGTTCAGATGAGGCACAATTCATGCCAGACTTTTCTGTCTGAAAAAAGGAAGCTTTGCAGGTGCCAGATGCATACATTGTGATGGTAGCTGTATCACATTTGGCAAGTTTACTTTCCTCTTTAGATCCTGTCATGTTTCCAAATATAATGTACATTGGTGTAAAAACAAATCAGTTACAACTTTTGTTTTTGTTTTTCCAGGGCATGTCAATGGGAGCCTTATAAATTGAGGTAAATCTGGGGCAGAAATCAAACAGGATACAGCACAACTCACTCTGAACCAATATAGAATATATGATAATTGGTTTTCAAATCAGATTGAGGGACTAGTGCACAGCCTTAAATACCAAACAAAGCATTGTGCAGTTATACCTTTTGCATTTTATAAATGTTCATCCAGTTTGCTTTAGGCAAGGCCAAGATGAAATAGGTTACAGAAAGACTAATCAGATTTCATCCTCTATTAAGTGTATATCTGCTTTAAAACAGCTACATGGTGTGGATGAATATGTGCGTCATAGAAAAGCTCTGCTCAGAATTTTTAACATCGAACAAAACTATATTTCAAACACAGAGCTCTGCTTAATGTTTAGCAGTTATTGAGAAGGCTAGGAAAGATAAGAAGAAAGGCTATTTGCAACATGTTTCTTTTTCTTTCTATAGTCTATTGAAAAGGCCTGCCAGTTTGACAAATAACACGAGCAAGCAGGGAATTATTATATCTGGAGGCTGTGAGGATTCCTTATCTTAAGCTTGGCTTTTAATAATGATTTTTATGGGTTTTCTTCAGTGCTAAAACTCATCTCATGCCTCTCCAACCAACAATATGGACAAAGCCCCTGAACTGACCCACCTTTTTCAAATGGAAATGAGCAATGTGTATGGCTTTTATTTGCAGATACCCCCCCCTTCCCCATGGTCACTATACACATAGATCTTCCTGTGTGCTCTACTAAGGCTTCTGAAACACCCGCTGAATTATAGGGACTTGAGGACACTTAAATTTATAGCATAATTGAAAGATCTTGCTGGGAAGCTGCTGTTATAAAATACTTCTGCCTTGTGTAGTTCACATGAAAAAATGTTCTTGAAATAGAAATTGAATTCATAATTGTTCATCACTTTTATTTTCCAATAAATAACATCACTCTCCATCTACGGCTGTTATAATCTAAATAACTAGAAGTATATCTGGTGCTGCTAGGCCCTGGGACATGTGGAACACACAACATTTTAAATATACTATCCCTTTTGTTCTAGCACTTGTGATCAGTACCTATATTATGTCAGGCTGTGATTGGAGATGACTCCACTCTAATGTGTTTTCTAAAATGCTCTTTTGAAGTATTGCTTTTTGAGGGGCAAACATTCTTTAGGCTTCTTAAACAGCTTGGCTCACCAACAAGAAAGTACTGGAATTTAGAACCAAACTAGCAAGTTTTCGGATTTCGTGAAGGTCTGGGTATGGCTTTTGGATCAGTCATTTCCAGCCAAAATACAATTCATGGTTTCTATCTGCAGGGTCATAACATGGTTTTAGGATATAATACTGAGTCTCAAAGCATGAATGCTGATGCTGAGGGGCTAATCATGCTTCTTGCCAGAGGCTATGTCTGCCTGGTAACAGTGTGCAGCAGTCAAATACATTTCAAGAACATTCTGGTCCCTCTGAGGAGAGTCATGGCTCAGTGGTAGAACGTATGCCTTCTATGCAAAAGATCTCAAGTTCAATTCCTAGAATTTATAGTTAAAACAGCTCGGGATTTGACAAGAGCAAGATACCAAAAATGTTTTGAACAGAAACAGAAATTTGTATTGGGGCAGATTCATCACTGTAAATGAGCATTTTACATAGGGGAAATTTTCATAGGATTTAGGGATTTTAGATCTGTCTCCAGTATGGCACAGCAGTATCCTATCTTTAGTGAATCATTATTGTTAAGGTTCTTTGACTCCAAAGTGGAAGCTCTTTGATTATCTCTCATGGTAGTATGCCCAAGATTTCTCTCTCTCTCTCTGAGAGATGCAGACTGAGATAATACAGATGCCAACCATTTTGACATTAGGTATTACAGTGCATGGCGGTATCTTTGTTATAGTCGTTAAAATGTCCTGAATTGATATTGGCTTAGAGTTACTCATGTTGGTTATTGGTATTTTCCAGACCATCTTTCTATGTCTATTTGAGAATTTGTTGATATTTTAGTATTTCAGACATAAATACCATATCCAGGATCTCTTATGAGATTTCCATTAGAATATGCTTCCTGAAAGGTATCTTTATAGAAGCTCCATGTCAGGAGTTGCCCAAAGTTCTTTTCTTTGGTATGTTGTCGGGGAATTCTTTTAAATTGTGATTAAATCACAATACAAATAACTATTCCAAAAGAGAATACCCATTTTACTCCCTCAGAAGACCAGTTCTTTGCTTTTTGCAATCTTAAAGCATATTTTTCAGAGAGCTGGAATCTAGACTTGATCATGTGTATTACTTCTTGTCTCCATACAGTGCAGTTGCAGATACTTCCAGTATTTATCTAGTAGGCTGAACATTTATTTATTTATTTATTTGTTTATTTATTTATTTATCATTCATTCATCCATTCAATTTGTATCTCACTCCCATTAGTGTCACAGCAATACTCTGGGCGGGTTACAAGTCATAAAATAGAAAACACAAATGAAAATAGAAATATTAAAGCTGATAACAGTAACCCTGAAAAAAGAAAGAAAGAAAACCAAACGGCACTGACTAATCTCAGAGCAGATGGAGGAAAGGAGGTGAAAGGAGAGGAGGAAGGGAGAGGGGAAAAAAGGAGGAGCAAGGTGGTCAGCTGGGATAGGTGTGGAAAGCCTCCCTGAAAAGCAATGTCTTTAATTGCTTCTTAAAAGTCCACAGGGAGGAGGCTAGGTGGAGCTCCTCTGGAAGCTGGTTCCATAAAGTTGGAGCCACTGAAAAGAAGGCTCTACCTCTTGTAGAGGATTTATTTCTCTCTTGGGGTGGCCACCCAGGGGAGCCTCGACTGGGATCCAAAGGTTAAGGGGAGATAGAAAGGGGATATAGAAAGATTAACGTAAATAATAGAAACCTTTAGTACCTGTGAATTTGAGACCCCAATCCAAGGACTCTTCAGCCTATTTACAATTTTTAAAAAAACGGTTATGTGAACACATTATCACATAATATAGAACCATAATTCATGTCCCAGAATAAGATATTTAACACATTTTGAGTTGTGACTGTCATGAGATAAGAAGGTTTTTTCCCCCTTAGAAGACATTTTTACAATTAAAAAATTGATTTGAAATCTGGTTTAAATAATTCTGGGTTTTAATTTTTTTAAAATGATTTTTTGAAACGTCCCATATAATTTGATTTTCTGTTTGTGTATTAGAACAGGAATGGGCAGCTTCTTCAGCTGAGGGGAGCAGTTCCACCCCCCTGTTTTGTGTGGGAGAAGTGCGTCTTAATTTGATTTTCTTTTTGTGTATTAGAACAGGGATGGGCAGCTTCTTCAGCTGAGGGGAGCAGCAGCTGGAGGCTGGACCCACTTGAGCATTATGCCAGTGCCACCCCATTCTACATTTTGGCTAGTTATTCCGTACAATATAATGTCAGAGATCCACCAAAGATCTTTCTACTGATGTTTTGGAGACATGTCCTAGAGATGCTTTTTTACTCACAGAGCTCTTTGGCAGACCTCCTTTTTTGGTGCTTTGAAAGTTGAGGTGCAATTGCTTCAGAGTCAGCATGCAGCTTGGTGTGTGACCTGCATTTCTTCCTGGCCTCTCCAGTGCTAACAGCTCTAAAGGCTGTCCAGCAGGCAAGCTTAGACGTGTTTCTTCCTGAGCAGCTTTTGCCTTTCAGTTCTCAAGTTATCTTCCAAGTGTTTTAATTTCAGAGACTCTCCTCCTTCACTCTTCTGTCCAAAACTTTGAATGAAATACAACATTTGCTTTAGTTCACTTAATGTTTTAGTTCTAACCTGTTACTATAGTAAATATAGCTGTCTTTCTATATTATTATCAAACTTCAGTACTGAAGTGATGTTGTTAACTATGAATGCTTTAGCTGAGAAGTTATGAAGCTATGCTTTCAGTCAGAAAATCCTGAAGTCAAATGTTGCCTCAATCAAGAAACCCACCAGATGGCTATCTTAGTGCCAAAACTACAAAATCTCAGCATTAGATCTCTGCCTACAGTAAGATAAATATTAATAATAAAATGCTTGACAGAATAGCGTATATGCATTGATGTATGGCACATGAAAACTCCATATAAATGCTTATAATAATGAAAATACTTAATATAAACTGTCATAGTTTATGTTAGTACAAAGATATATTACCTTCACTTTAATAACAGGAAGTTGTATTGTTGTGTCTTATATTATTAGCCCCTGAGAAATGGAATTTCCCCCTCAACCTAATTTTTAGTAGGATGTAAACGGATTTTTTAAAACTCTGTGGTTGTCATAGTTTATGCTAAAGTGCAATATATTCTCTTGAATCTTAATAACAAGAAATTGTATTCTTTTATATTCTTTTTCTAGCTTGTGATGAGTGGAAAATTCTTCCTAAGCCTAATCTTCATCAAGATGTGAACAGATTTGGCCACTCTGCAATTGTCAGCAATGGGTAAACACATATTTCTAAAAGCGTGATATAGATGGGTGCATGTGTATGCACATATATGTGTGTACATACTTGAAGATATAGTATCTACAGCTATTTATGCCTGTGAGCTGATGAAAGTCAGCTGGTGTTTTGAAATTCAACTAGAGACCTCACTTCATACTGTATGTTTATTCAACTATGAAGCCCACCAGCTGAATTTTTGGGCATTTCACTATTACATAGCTCTGACACTCACTGCATTGTTATGAAAATTATAAAGTTTAGTAGTTAACAGAATTTGTGGATCTGATGCTGTATTCTGCATCAGCATTTTAAAAAATAACACTTAAAATTAAGATGTGATTCACAATATATTTGGTGACTATTGGGTTCAGTCATAATTGTTTGCTATATTACTGTTCAAGAAAATGACAAAACAACAGTGATGTGCGTAATTAGCATACATAAAAATGTTGGGCACTACTTAAAAATTGTACCACTGAAATACTACAAAGTAAAGAAAAAAGCAAAAGAAAAGTGTGCTGCTTATATACCAACTCATAGCACTTAGAGCACTCCCTGGGCAGTTTACAGTTTAATTATACAGGCTACACATTGCCCTCTACACAAGCTGGGTACTCAATTACCTGACCTTGGAATGATGAAAGGCTGAGTCAGCCTTGAGCTGGCTACCTGAATCCATTAGGATTGAACTCAGGTCATGACCAGAGTCTTCACTGCAGTACTACAGTATAACCACTGCACCACAAGGCTCCATCCATCCCCAAGCTTAGAATTTGGTTGTTTTTGAAATACTGCATTTGTGTTATTTGTTACATTAAATTGCATCATAATGAATGCATTAGAAATGTAACATTCAAACATTATTTGGGAGGTTGTGTTTTTACAAAAATACAGTTAAAGATAGAAAACTGCCTCCCCCAAATGTCCCAGATCCTCTCAAATGCCCTCCAAATGTTTTAAAATGACAAGCAAATGTTACTAATTGCATCAAAAAGGCAATGATGCCACAGCTTGTTAAATGATTTCTTAAAGGTAATGTTGCTATTTTAAAAATGCAGTATGTCACAGGTAATATTATTATGCAAAATATGTTGCTTACAAAGTCTGATTCTGGAGACAGGAGGAGAGTAGCATGGTTTCATTTCAAATTATGTTTTACTTGATTGATTTGATTTAGCTTGTGAGACACTCAGCAGCTTCATTATTGTGTAAAGTCTCTGCTAACAAGGTTGAATTAGTCCTTTCATGCTTTGAAATAATTATAGCCAGTTATCAATCACTACCATGAAAAGAACAAACTCGGTATAATGTATGTCAAAACCATGAATGAATGTCATTTAAAGTCAGGAATAACTTCAGAAAGAGATGTTTGCCTACTACAATGTAAGAGGTAAATAGTCACTTGGACAGGCAGCATCCTCTTCTTTCAGTGTCTAAACCCAGCATGCCTCTCTTTGCACTTATACACGGAGAGCTCTTCAAACATCTCTAGCCTAGGCAATACAAATTCTTCTGGTAGTGATGCATTCCAGCTCTGTATAGTACTCTGAAATTATTGACCTACATTGAAAAGAAACAGGGTGAGGCTGAGTTCACATGAAAAAAGTAAAATGGTTATCACACCCATTCTTAGCACTGCTGCCCATTTTGTTTGGAAGAGCACGTTGTCTTGTATAATCAGATGAGACATACACAATACCAGGAATAATGTTTTGGACTACTAATTGTAAATTAAAAAAAAAAACCTGTGCATCATACATTTCCTGTTATGTAAAAGCAGTAGAGGAACACATAGACAAATGTTTCTGTTACATATCTGACTCTACATTCGTATCTCTGTACTGCAAATCATACTGATGTTTGCATAAAGTTCATGTAACTTACCATGGCTAGTTACAGCTAATTGGGGAGATGCTAGAGCATGTTTTGGTCATGTGCCTGGTCACACATCCAATTGCACAATTGAGATAAACTACAGCACCTTGTCAATTAACTGCAAATTATGCAAACAGCAATAGCCTATATATGTCTATATCTTTATATCTTTATTTATTTAGCAGGTAAGCCTCAAAACCTCAAAATGATAGTCTTGTTGCTTTAAACAAAAGCTCTAATATTGCATCATTGAAACATTAAAGCAATGTTGACAATAATATTGGCTTATTACATGATGAAGGAATTGTCACTCTCGAATTGGCCTTGTCAGCCACACTAGATGCTGTTCCCTCTATTTAGAGCACATTACCATAGTTCTCGAGTCTGAAGGATGCCTACAAGGACATGATGAATGAAATCCAGGTGGACCTTGCTTATGCAACAGGAATGGGGTCTTAGGCAATGGTAGATTTCTGCTAATTAAAGGCTTCCTTTTATTATTTTAGATGTGCCTGGCTCATACAAAGTTGCATGCAACATGAAATCACAAAAGGAAGCCTTCAACCATCAATTGCTGATGACCTCATTTCCATTGTGCAGACAGATCCTATCTAACAGGATTTCTTCCTCTATGCGATAAAGTAAAATAAATTCTGTTCATTCTAATTGTAAAGCTAGATGTAAAGTGACTGGGACTTCAGAGTGCCTTAACTCTGGCAGAATCTTGTGGGGTCATGAAGTTAGCTCTTGCAGCCAACTGAATTTAAGAGCAGTATTTGAATGTAGAGAATATATATGTAACATAAAAGGAAGGTGGTAAGTCAGAACTACCACTTTGAGTGGTGTGTATCTCTTGTTTAAAATCATAACATTATTTCATTTTACTCAATAGGTCTATGTATATATTTGGAGGTTTTTCAAGCATTCTGCTGAATGACATTCTTGTGTACAAACCTCCTAACTGTGAAGCATTTAGAGATGAAGAGCTTTGTAAAACAGCTGGACCAGGGTTGAGATGCTTATGGAACAAAAATCACTGTGTATCATGGGAATCAGGACATGCTAATAACATTCTCAGGGCAAAGTGTCCCAGAAAATCAGGTAAGTGGATCCTCACAGCAGCAATACTACAGTAAATATGTTAAACTGAATACATGTGTGGGAGGATTGTCCTGTCCTGTAAATGCATTCAGCAGAAGGTGTAAGACTGTCTGGGCCAAGCTTTGTACACAAGGTCAGCTTACACTGGTAGACTTCCTTGAACATCTGCTGAATGCATGCTTAATATATATATGCAGGCTACTTTCAGTAATATATGCCCATGCAAGGTACTTGTAACAATATGTTTCCTTTTTTCCATAAAGGTATTTGTTTGGTCCCTAAAACAAACAATGCAAAATGCAGCAAAATCAGGATAGGGACAATGATACTTTGATAATGAGAACTGATGGTTGGATTTGACTGATTATCATATACAGTGGTGCCCCGCATAGGGGCAAAAAACTCACCTTAATGCGAAAATCCTCCATACGGCCACCATTTTCGCTGCCCGGTAAGCGAGGAATCCAGGTGAAAACACAGCGGGCGGCCATTTTGCCATCTTCTCCGCTCCAGCCCCTCCCCGCCTCACAGCTGATCGGTGCTGGTCTTAGAAGCTTCCTCAGGCTTGCCCAGCAGGTAAACAGACAGTGGAAATGTACTGGGGAAGCCTCTGAAACCTGAGCTTTGTCAG